GAATGGGAAGAGGCCGGGAGCAGGAGCCGCTCGGTCACGGACTTGGCCCCGGGGCTCCAAGGTACTGGATGGGTAGGAGAATGGAGGATCGCTAATGAGCTGGTCAAGCTAGAAGGAGAAATAATTAGGCTCTATATAGTAGTCGATTGAGCGGTATGGTTAAGAAATTCCATATACTTTTTTTTTATTATTATGTACATGCTTTTATATTTATGTTGTCTTTCTGAATACTCAGATGAATCAAATATTTAATTTTTCACGGGAAAGGATTCAGAGTCTTAAATCTTTCCTATGTCCCTTCCTGGTGACTGCTGGAAACCAGGAAGGTGCCGGTGTGAGAGCAGGAGCCTCGGCCCATGGAGCAGAACTGGGACATTGGGGCAGCCTCTGCCGGAGCCGCTGCCCTCTGTCCCGGCGAGCAGCCGGCTTCCCGGATGGCTCCCGAGTCCCCGTTCGGATTCCTCAACAGCCAAGAAGAAGAGGAGAGGATCCCTGCGCCATGGAGGTGGATGTTCTGTGTCCTGCGGGTGCCGGAGGAGCCTGTGCCCGTCCCGAGGAGGCAGCGCCGTCCCCTCGGCTCCGTCGAACTGCTCCACGTCCGAGCGTGTCCGCGTAGCGCTCGGAGCTTCCCAGCCTGTATCCCAACGCCGGGACGGCCGCCCGCCGGCTTTAGCTTGTTACGCATTAGCCACCTATTTTGTTATAAAGGCCTGTACGATGTATGCCCTCTTATCCTTGTGAAACTGTAAGTTCTATTTTTGACATTTTAATAAACTTTGATTGGAAAACTGAGGCTCGTGAGCAAATTAGGATATTGTAAAAATAGACCCGAGGATGCAAATGCAGAGCAGTTGGAGCCTTGGAAAAGCAGGGATAACGTGGCACCAGCTGTGTCCTTAGGTAACTGAAGATGCTGTGCTCGGTTCCAGGTAAGATCATTGTTCTTGTAGTTCGAATTTAAAGAAAAAAGATCAAAAACGAAACAAAACTTGAACAGGTTCTTTTAACTACAGGGATTCAGAGGTGAGTACAAGAGGAGCCCCGTGGCTTGAAGGATTTGCAGGATTTTCCACCGGCCGGACGGTGCCAGCGGTGCCCGTTGCAGCTCCAAAGGCTCCTGAGTTCGCTGGGTTTTGCGGAAGCTCCTGCAGGAGGGGGCGTTTTGCTCCAGCTCGGTGGCATCCAGCTAATCCAGCGGGACCTCACGATTTATAGCTGCAGGTGCCTCGTTCTTCCATGGAATTGGAGAAATGATGGAAGAACGAGGCACCTGGAAGAGGCTGCTCTCAGTCCAGCCTCTTGCTTGATACAGGGCCAGGTCCCTGTGACTTTTGTCCAGCCAAATCTTGCAAAACGAGAGCGATTCCCCCCCTTTCCTCCCCAGAGAACCTGACCCAGGGCTCCGTGGGGAAAGATCCCCAGGATCTAACGCCAGCCAAGCGGGATCGGCGGCACCTCCAGGGCAGGGGCCTCCTTTGCTCCCGCCCGGCCATAGGAGGAGGCTCCGGAGGGCCGGGGGAGCCAAGGCCGCCGATTCCACAGACTCCCCCTGTTCCTCCTCAGCTTTCTCTGGGACTCGGAGGGAAAATGATTTCTTGGCGGTGTTTTTCCTGCCGGAGGATTTACGAGAGAACTTTTTCCACTTTGTTTTCCAACAATGCGGTCATGAAAGGGCTTCGTCCAGGGTTTCCGTGAGGCTGCCAGAGCGCGAGGCAGGGAATGAGCGCGGAGCCGTCGAGGGCGGCGCTGCGAGTGCTGCCTCCTGTCACCTGGATCCGTCACTGCCGTTTCGTGGATTCTGGGGTCACGGCTTCTCCTCCTCTGTGGAAATGAGAAGCTGAAGCAAAAGACAAGTTTGATAATAAATGAAAAAAGTAGAAGCCCCGTCCAAGGAACTGTGAATCAACCTTCCTCGGGGGATTCAGCTGGGGCAAAGGCCGGGTCAGGAAGGTGGCTCTGTCCCGGCAGGAACGTCCTGGTGACACCTAACAACAGGCTGTACCTGGGAAGGAGCCGCTCACGGATCAGTTATCCCGAAATGAGGGCCTGGGGCGGGAGTCTCTGCCGGGAGGTTGATGCTGCTCCCCGCGCTGCTCCGGGCTGCGGACGAGCCCCCGGGCTCCGCTGTGGCACCCGCTGCTCCGCGGACGGTCGCGTTGCCTTCAGCACCCTCCTTGCAGGGGCCGCTGCAGCCCTTCTCGGAGGCTCTTCACCAACGCAGTCACCTCTCCGCATTCTTGCAAAAGCAGGAGCCAGAAGCAAACGCCTCCTGTTCGCACTGAAGCCCTGGTTGCTTTCCTTCAGAATCAAGTCTGACAGTGATTTTTCCGTACGGGCTTTCTGGTTGCCCTCTTTGCTTTGGAAAAGCTGCCACAGGGAGCCGCGGTGCCCAGCTCTGCCCGCAGAGCAGCCCTGGGCCGGGCTCAGCGCTGCAGCGCGAATGGGGCAGAGCGACGGCTCCGCAGCCTCCGGAGGCGCCAAACTGGGACGGGGCTGCTGGGCAGACCCACGCGTTTCCAGGCCCCTTCAATCATTTCTGTAACAGCCGTTTTTGCTAAGAAATTTTATAGACAAAACAAAGCCTCTCCTCCGAAAACGGCAAGCCACCAGCAGAGCAAACTGCTGGATTTAGGAACGCTGAAACCACCTCCCACCGGATTCTAGCCACCGTTCCCCTTTTGATGCATAACACTTTTCTGAAGCCTAAAATGCGTCGACTAGCAAGATACAAACTTAAAACAACAGGTTTCCAGGAGTTCTTGGTACCTAAGAGAGATCTGCACCAAAATATTCGCACAGATGTTTGGCCAGTGAGAGGTGGAGGCCGTTCGGGTGCCTTCACCTGCTGGTATCTTAGAAAAGGGCAGCAAAGAGCTTAAATTGAATTTGTACAATTTTATTAAATTTAAATAAAATATCACATATGTAAAGAAACCACATGTACAAAGAATCGGTTTTATAAAGTATTCAAATGCATTATGTTTTTCACTGTGTTCAATTAATTTACTCTGCACTTTTGCCATCTGTCTCTATTGCACAGCAAATATTTAGAGAGGAAGAAAGAAGCAACCATGAAAAACTTGGAAGAAATCCCCTTCAGTCCTTTGCTAGGGTTAAAACAGGTAGGCAGTGAGAAGAGAAAGTGGAGAAGAGAAGGAAAGAGCTTGGCAAGTTGTTTTACATCGCTCAGTTTGAAGGGGTGGCCTTGCTAAGTGGCTGCTTGAATGTGCGTGAAAACCACTGTGAAAAGTGCCTTAAAATTCAAAGATGATAATTCGTTTATGGGAAGTCACCGCTTCAGGATCCGCTGTATTTATTAACATGAGAAAACAGATCCTGGAAAAGTTAATTCCACAATGAGCTCGCTTAACCCTGGTTATTTTCTGATGAACAGGGAAATGTCCTTGGGAAAAAGCCCATGGGGTTTCATGCGGCAGCGCTGGAGAAGGAGCCGGGCGCTGCCCCGGCAGCAGCTTCTGCTGAGGGTGTCGGGGAGCAGGGCCGATTTGGGGCAGCTCCCGCCTCACTCGGGGGATGAAGGGCTCTTTTTCTGGCCCTGGATGCCAGGAAGCAGCATCCGAGGCTGGAACTGGTACCTCCTCATTAGGAAATGGGGACATGACCGTGTGCCATGCAGCAGTGTCAGCGCGGGGCGTGCGGAACCCCGGCTGTGCGGGTATTTCGGGGTTTAGTTCTCCAGCTGGAGCTCTGCGGGGTCTCCCCGAAGGCCAAGTACTGCAGAGGGTTTGTGCAAGGACTGTCACCCCTCAAAAAGCAGCAAAAATCTACCTTGTTTAACCCCCCGTGGAAACCCAGTGCGTGTGGCACAACTCCTGTCCCCCCAGGGAAGGCCACATCCGCACAGGCAGAGAATTCAAAGCCTGGGGGACATTTTAATGGCTTTGGCACTCGGCAGGACGAACCTTGCAGTACGGAACTGCACAGTCCATAACACAGGACAGTCCAGCAGCCTTCTCTTCACAGCTCGTGTAAATCTGGTTTGTGTTTTAACTAGTGGGTCAGCTATAAAGCTACATAAAAACATCAAACAGGCCTACATCAAGATCTGGAGCTCAGAATTAAGTAGTCATTTAACAACCGCTGGCCATTTGTAGAAAGATAACTGGTGGGTTTTGATTTTTTTAACTGAAATCAGGAAACGATAAAAGCGATAATTTGAAAAATGTAAACTAACCTCTTGTTTCCTCTAACCACACACACTTGGAGGGCATGCACGGCCCTCCAAATCCTCCGGGACTGAAGGAGTGAACGGGCAACAAAACCTCGCTAACCAGGAGGTGTTGTGGAATGTGCTACTTACTGCAATAACGTAGAGAATCCTTCAACCAAAGAAGCAACTAAAGCTAAATGGGGCTTTGAGCAATAGGTGCTCACTGCGGGAAGAGAGCAGGATGCGCTGCTGCTTATGGAACAACTCAGTTTTCCTCATAAAAAAAACAGAAGTTGAGCAGCAGTTTCTAGCAACCACGTCTCTAGCTGAAGTGCTCCCTCCAAGCTAAGAAATTTAAACAACAGAGGCAATCATTCAGAAGGCTTCATAAATCATGAATATGTGGGGTGGATATGTGATAGAAATTTTGTGCTAACTAAGGCCTGCCTGAATTTTACCCCAAATTAAGGTTTTCCATTGCTTTAAGTGGGAGCTGGGTTACCCCCTCAGGGATCACAGAGCCTTCATCTCCGAAACACTGAACAGGGAAAGCTCATCCGGCCTTCAGAATTCCAGCTTGGCTATTCAGTTCTCGGGAGACACAGTGCAGCCTTCCTGGACTGTGGGAGTTGTTCTTACTACTCAGTATATGAGCTCCACTACAGAGAGAGGTAACTGCTACTCAGAGGAAAACCCCATAAAACTGGTGTCCGTTTTAATAATCTCAATGCCAGTTTCCGACCTCACCTTTTCTGCATGTAGTTTCCTCTGCTCATGAGGCAACGTTGCTGCCTTATCTGTGGAAGAGAACATGGCTTTAGGCTCTCAAGAGTGAGCGGAGAGAGAAATGTCGGGTTCTGGGGACCACCAAGGCACTGGTGTAAGATTGTAAAAAAGGAAAGTTTTTTAGTGAGGCCTGGGGCAATTCCCAGAAAAAAGGAGTGAATGCTTCTGAGCACTCTGGATTCCATCTCACACATCTGTAACTGCCCCCTGAACTGCAAGACTGGCGAGCAGAGCTAAAACAAGCCATGTTACAGGTTTGTTCATAGAACAGACTAACTCAGTGGGACAGCAGTCAGCAGAGCAATATCTATTCCTCCCAAGAGCTTCTTCTAGATGAAGAAGAAGTTAATGAAAAGATCAGCTATTCTGCAAAAGCTCAGGCAGCACAATAGGAGTTTGTACAGCCCCCCAGCTGACACACTGGCTTTCATGCTGATTAAAATGATTAAAATGGGGGATACACTCCCAGGTACAGTACCTTTCATTTCTTTCAGCTTTGAGAACAGCCTCTCAAAGTTCTCCAGGTCGCCTTCTCCTGTGGTCAGGCTGGCTAGTTCTTGAATATCCATATCTAACATGGGATCTGAAATGAAGGTGGTTAGACTGATTTGAGGCACTGTTCTGGTTTGCCAGCAGGTTTGAAAACAGGTCCTGGTAAAAACAGCCAGGACTTTAATAAGATCCCACATATAATATGAGGGAAAGAAAATTTACCACTTGTTCAGAGAGACAACTCAGTGCAGCAGTGTAGTGTTACCTAATTTTGACAGGTTACATTGCCAGACTGGTTTTGGATTCATCCAATATTTAAAAGGTTTCTTGTCCATCATCAAATGATCTGTCTAGGAACAGCCACAGACTATAAAAATTGAAGAGTGACGAGACTCTGCCAGCCCCTAACCTTTAAGATTTCCACATACAAATTGTATCTCCTGGAACTGTACAGTTACTTAAGGATCTCTACTAGGTTAAAAGCCCTGGGTCTCTTTGGAGTGACCCATGCAGAATGTCCATTTTCTTCCTGCTGAATAGCTCGTAGGCAGCACATTGTAATGATTTGTATCTGCAACCAGGAGAGTTTTACTCTTATCCTGATGTTTCTCGGTATAAACAACCCATGGATCAGACTCCACAAAATCAGATCAGATGTTCCCCACTGGCAGTTCTGCAAGACCAAAACTACCCTGACTCCAGGGAGAAGTGCTGCTATAGAGGCTGCCTGGTATTTTTTACTTTGTGGCCCAAGGACTGAAAGGTATGAAGGGTCCTAAGGCTCTTTTCCCTAAGCCCCATCCTGGGAATTGTTACCTCCTGCAGATGCTCCCACCGTGCAGGGACCGAGCTTACCTACAAGGCTGTCAATCTGCAGGTCGTTTGTGCTGGCTGCATCTTCCCTGCTGTCCAAGGGGGATTCTTCTCTGTCTGCCGACGGCGGATTGGACTGCCAGGAAGCAAACAGACAGTACTGTATCAAGAAGGCTTTATCAGCAAATGTTTTAACGTTAAAGCCCTATTCTTTAACTTAAGTTGAAAGTTTCTTACTGCAAAACCTCTGCCAAAGGCATCACTGAGAACCCACTGCGTAGCCACTGTGGGAAGGGGTTTTCTCTGGGAGGGGGTTTGTAGTTATTTTTAAACAAACTTTTAAAATGCCAGTTTCTCTTTTGCACAGACAGGATAAGTTTCTCTTTAGCTGTTGGACAGTGCTGGAAAACAGTATCTTAACGGGGTACCTTAGACTCCAGTGGGTTTTCACACTGCTGGGGTGTGTGCAACCAACGGCCAAGAGCTTTCCCCACTGAGGACACAACCCAGTGCCAGCAGGTGAAACGATGGAGCGGGATGGAAATGATGGAGCAACGAGGCAAGGAGAGAGCAGGAGAGAGCTCCCAGGCACGACACGACAGCCCCGGGACCAACAGCCTCAGGAGGGTTTTCAAAGAAAACGCAGGCAAAAGTTTTCCCATTTCCTTCCCCAAACACCCTGCCAGGCTGTGAAGAGTCCCCTGAGGAAGGAGCAAAAGCCGCAGGGCCCT